GCAGGCACCTCGGAATGATTGTGTTAAGCTAGCACTAAGTCCCTTCCCCGACCACCTTTATTCTTTTCTTTATAATAAGGCTTTCAAATAAGTCATGGTTGTACGGCAGTGAAGCATTGGTGTTGAACACTGATGTCATGCTGTCGTTGATGATGATGATGACGACTCAGTCAGTTCGCCGTCGTGCAGTCTAGCGATGTTGTGTGCCCGTATACTACGCAGAGTAGTTGCATAATCGCACAGATAAACATACGCAGCGACATGCTGTCGTTGATGATGATGATGACGACACCATCAGTTCGCCGTCGTGCAGTCTAGCGATGTTGTGTGCCCGTATACTACGGAGAGTAGTTGCATAATCGCACAGATAAACATGTGCACGCAGCGACTCAGGATGCTTCTAATGACCCACCGTATCATTTCGCTTCACAGCGACGCACCGACAATATCACTACGACTGACCGTGAAATATTTGCAGCCTGACTGCTCAAATCCGGGAACAAATAACGGCCACAAAGAAGGCAACCTGACACTGCCCCTTTTCAAAGACAACAAACAAAGTGAAAACTGGATGACACATTTAACCATTGGATTATTTTGCCCAATTTAAACACACTGACCGTCGCAGCTTTGGCTTTTCAATTACGCACCATCACCGCCACCACAGGAGGTACCGGCAGCAACTGTAGAGCGAAGGGACGTTGGCAAGTAATGACGGAAAGTAAAACCGTTCAGCTGTAGCACCCTTTCGGTGCCTAGCTGCCATGCCACCCAAAGGAAGTACGAGGGCTGGGATACTGCCAGGTTGCTCAAGCCTAGACAGGGGAAGTCGAGAGGCAGAGGTTGGGTTCGAACCACGGACCTTCCGGTCAGTAAATTCGCGCTCTAACCACTTGGGCCATCTGACAGTACTATGAGAGGAGTGCACCGACTTTTGCGGGAGCCCAAGAAAAACACGTAAGGGACGGAAGATCGTACAGTGTTTCGCTAATGGTTTAACTAAGGCATTTTGCGTCGAAATAATGGAAGGCAAAGACTTTCTACAAGAAAAAACATCGCACTGAAGAGTTCAATTGCCTTCTCGCCTTGTCTGCCCGACATTTACCTCCTCGGAAGAGTAGTGTTGGACAGCATTTTCATCAAACGACCGAGGGCATTACTGTTACTAAGAAATATGGGCTCCGTTTGCTTCAAAATCCCATCAACTCTCACCAAATTTTCCTACCACGGTAAGCATTCATCAGACGAGTAAATGTGTGTTATCTGGGGGGATGTTGGTTACTGTTGTTTAGTTCTCTGAGCTGGGTAGTCGGTTGCAAGCAAACTGATCAAACCAGCAAACAGCTAAACGAATGTATGGCATGCACTGCCCGTTCTGCGCAATTCCACTTAAGGGTAAACGTGGTCGGAAAACTGGTGTAAACCGACTTTTTTGTTCACTTGGAAGGAACGGCGCTTTTGTAGGGGGGGGCTGGTGTAAACCGACTTTTTTGTTCACTTGGAAGGAACGGCTGCTTTCGTAGGGGGGGGAGGTGACGACGTACACAGAAACAACATAGGAACCATACACCATATCATTTCAAGAAGTGATCTAGAAATATAAGACCTACTTTGACAAGACCTTGACGATTCGCCAACATATTGGAAGGCTTGACATCCCGGTGAATGATGCTTTTCTCCCGGCGAAGAAACTGTAAGCCAGTGACGACTCGTTGAGTCATATAAGCCAGAAGCGATTCGGGGATTGACTTGTTCGCCCCATACACCTACGTTCAGGGAGGGAAAATGTACGGAGGAAGAACTCCAGAAGAAGGATGGAATATGCTGCGAAATGTAATTGGATTACAAAACCAAATAACAATAGTTGTTCCGTTAGAACCCTCACCATACTGTTCTGAGGGAATTGCCATGATTAGTCCAGAGTGGAAGTAATGGCCTCGAGTTTCGAGGGGAAATTGGCAGTGCTCCGTTGGGTGAGTGTGCTCGCGAGAGGCAAGGCGAGCGCAGCACCACTGGTGTGATTGCATAAGTTTGCGGTATATGAATCACCAGGTCTGGCGCCACCTGTTCAAGGGGTCCTGACAGGCGAGACAATCGACCGGCACAACAAGAATGGTGACCAAGTCGTCATTCGAAGAGTCAACTTGTCTACCTCTTTCAACGTGATTACTCGCACACACTAGCGGGGTAGTCAAATATAGGATATTCGACACTGAAAACCGGTATGACCGAGAATATGTAGTTTTGATAGGTTCTCATAAGAGCGAAGTTCGAGTTCTGGCATATACTCTTCGGACTAATCACACCAGGACTTGATGAGGACTGTCTCAAGGGAATGGATATGGATGCAAATGTTGCCAATACTGTAAACACTCTAAACATAAAAGATGAATACGATGACATTGATCCAACAGTAACATCAAATCGGTGCCTAGCTACCAAACGGGAGCACAAAGGCTGAAATACTACCCTAGCCTATACTAGAGTAGCCTGGGTTGGGTTTGAACAACGGGCCTGCCGGCCCGTAGATTTACGCCTTAACCATTGAGATTTATCGAGCTCCAGGATAGAAGGCAATGCCCAATAAGATAAGCGGGACAGGTCGATACCCCACACGTCGGCAGCAGGATGTCCAGTAACAGCAAAAACATGGAAGCAAACGCCTACCGGAGTCAAGACAAATGTTCATATGGAAAATTATATAGTCCCTGCATAGACGTAATACACTAGTCGTAAGGTTGCTGAAAAATGTTAGACAACCCACGACCGGTTTCGCCCTTCTTGGGGCTGTACATGTATCGCGATATCTCGAATATCGTACCAACTGAAACATGAAGCAGCCTGGTGCTGTATATTCGGCTGCTTAAAAACAGCATAAAAGAGAGATTCCGCTGGATTACAGGTGAGTCTCCCGCAAAGCCTAATTGGGTTGCAGATGAGTGTATTTTGCTAACATAGTCCCCTGGTTAACAGCACAGTCCTAGGAACCATTCCGACTTGATAAAGAAACCAAAACATCGTAGTAAACATCAAAGATAATTCAGTAATTGGTGTTTAGAGATTCCTTAGTCGTAGGAAACCATGTGGAGACGGCTAGAGGTCGGAGATATTGAAATAGACTTACTTGCGCGCGAAGGTTTTCCAGGGATGTATCCATAAGTTCCATAAGAATAAAAACCTCCGAGTCATGGATCAGACCCCCGTAACACATGAGCACACAAGGACTTGTGGTTTGATAGCCAACTTCGAGCTCCCTTTGAATTTGAGAGCGGTTCACGTGTTCGTTGAGTAGTGTGATCAACTTAACAGCTAGAATTCGTTGGGTTGGGCGGTGAAGCATCTTTTCCACACG